TTATTATTATTCCTCTGCCACTGGGGCTTGAATCCAGACGCACTTTACCACTGAACCACGACCCCTAACCCTTTTTATTTTCATGATGGTTTGAGAGATGGTCTCACTAAGTTTCTCAGGTCCTCCTGCCTCAGCCTCACAAGTCACTGGGATTACGGGCATGGCCACCACGCCTGGTCCGTGCATCTTGAGCATTTGAAAGAATACAGCTCTGTGGCTCTCAGTGAGTCATGACCGTGTGTAGCTGTCCCCGCCATCTATCACCATCACTCTTTGTCTTGTAAAACTGAAATTCGTAAGTGGCTTTAAGCTGGGTAGTGACACTGGCCAGGGCAGGCTATTGACTGCCATCTCTGCGGCTCCCCAGATGGTGCTGTGGCCTGGTGTGGGGGCAGGGTGGGTGATGGTGCTCCCCCCTCAGGATCATGAGGAGCCAGTGCCCGCCCCGGGCCTGGAGCCCATGTGCCTGGCCTGCAGAGAGGGGAGGGAGTGAGAGGGGCTGGGGCCGGAGAGGTGGCCATCACTCTGCCCCAAGCTGTTGCCAGACCCACTGCCAGGGCTGCACCTGTCTGAGGGCAGGCTGGGACTGGCGGTCTGCACGTGTTCCCAAGGGAAGAGGCGACAGAGACCGGGGACTCAGAGTGGCATCTGCCACATGAGGAGGAGCGTCCAGGCAGAGGGAGGTCCAGGAGCACAGTCCGCAGTGTCCAGGGGGAAAGTGCACAGTGACGTTTCCTACAGCGAACGAGGGTGCAGGCGGGAAGGGCTGGAGGTCTGAGGGGAACGTGGTGTCCTCAGGGACCAGGGCCGCTGAGTGGCCGCCGGAGCAGCAGAGGAGGGGCGCCCATGGGCCAAGAGCCCACAGGGCAGCAGCGTGTCTCCTGCCTCCACCCTGCTACACCCCACGGCCCGGCCCAGCCAGGTGCCACCGATGCTGCCAGGGCAAATGGAGAACCTCAGCCTGGGGCCTAACAGGAGCCACGGCCATTGCCCTAGTGGGTGGGCACTGGGAACCACAGCTCTGCCTCCCCCACCAGGCCGACCTCCTGGAGCCGCTGGGGGTGGCACAGAGGACGTGGGGAGGGACAAACCAGGCCAGGGACCACCTGGCGAACACCCTCCTGGAGAGCAAGGGAGGGCCCCAGTGCGACTGCTGACCAACTGGGCGGCCACAAGGACAGCAAGGGACCATCAGAGAGGAGTGGCCTGCACAGCAGCTAAAGGCATCATGACGCCAAGACAGAGGGGACTGGTCCTGAAGGCCAGGCACTTAACAGGAAAACAGGCTGGACAGGCCACTTTCTAGAAGATCACCTGGCTGCAGGGAGGGGTGACTGGCAGGAGCCAAGTCTCAGGGCCAGAGG